GGGCTGCGCTCTGGGCGACGATGTGCCGGAGAGTGGTGTGGCGAGAGGCCAAGCGAGGAGGCGCCGCCCCGGCGAGAGGAAGGCAGAAAGGGAGGCGAACGGGCGCAGGACACGCGAGGGATCCCAACTTGGGTCAAACGAGACTCGGGGCAGGGAGAAGGGGTGGACAGAGGGCAGGAGGGATTGGTGTCGAACGGCCCTGGGCGGTTGGAAGTGACGTCCGTTTTTTCAGCCCAGGGTGCCCGCCTCGTCGGCCGCGGGACCGCGCGCGGTGGCGGGCCGGCGCGCGGGCCGGCGGCGAGGGCCTGCGCACGCCATGGCCGGGGCCGATCCCCCGGACGCTTGGACGGCAGGCGGCTCGGGCCGCCGGCCGAGGGGGGCCCCTCCGAGGCCAGGCCCATCGCGCGGCGCGGCGCGCCAACCGGGCCAATAACACGCCCCCGACCAGGGGCAAGTTGGCGGTGCCACCGGCGGCTCGCTTGGCAAGCGGCCCGATGCTAATGCGCGCCCGGAGCCCGAGGGCGACGGCAGGGCAAAGGGTGGGAATCGGCAACGGCCACACCGGCTTCGGACTTTTGTGAAGTGGCAGGCAGGAGGCGCCCTCCTCCGGCAGTGTGGCCCTTTTCGGGCAGCCGGCTCGTCGACATAGCCTCCCTCCGCCGGGGGGCCGCCGGTCCCGCGCCACCGCAGCCTCCCGGCCCCTCGCCGAGTCCCGGCCGGTCCCCCGCCCAGCCCCTCGCCGCCGGCGCGACGGCCCGGCACCTTCCCATGCGACCAAACCCGCGAGCGGATAGCCTGCAAAACGATGGGCGGATTTCTCGCGCCGGCATTCGGCTCGAGCTACCCCTCCCCCCTGCTGATGGCTCGCCCCCATACGCCGGCGAGGGCCTCGCGCGGGGCGTCGACCCCTCGGGTGGATACCCGGCCCGCCGCCGGCAGCGCGCCCCATGCCGGGCCCCATGCCCCCTCGGGCCCGGGCGAAGGCGGCAACACTGGGACCAGGAAGGGGGGGGGGGGGGGGCCATGCCGAAGCCAGCCCCGCACTGCCCCGCACTTCGCGGCGCCTCGAGCGGCCCGCCTCCTCTCGCGGGCAGAACGCCGCGCAATACCCGCAGCCGCGCGGGCCGGCGCCGGCGCTCCGAGCACCGGCACCTCGGCCGGGCCCCACCAGGGTTAACACCGACCAACGAGATCCCGCCCGCGAGGCGGGCCGGGGGGGGCGGGGGGGGGGCGTGGGGGGGCCGACGCGAGGCAGGCCTTTTCGGTGCCGGAGGGCATGGGCCCGGTGGGCAACTGTGCCCTCGGCGCATGGAGACCCCGGGGGATCGGTCCACCTCCCACTCTCCCGGCGCCCCCTGCGCCTCGGCCCAGGCGCAAAAGCAACCCGCCGGGCCGGGCGCCCCGGGGATTGTGGGCACCGGGCGGGCAAAAGCCCGCACCCAACACGCACTCCGTTAAGCCCTCAACTAGGAACACCATTCCGCACGGCGGGGGCGTGATTCGGCGGCCTGATCGCCGCGGGACCCGGCGCATGGGCGGTTATGCGCCATCGGACCGAATGCCAACGATGCGGCGCCCGCCCTCCCGGCTCGTCTCCGCGACTAGCGCGGGGCCGCTTTGTCCCGGGGCCTGCGCGCGCGCCGGAGCGCGCGCCCGTGTGCGCACACGCGAGAACATGCGCCCCCGGGCCTCTTCCTGACTGGGCCGGCGCAACGGGCACGTCTGGGGGG